CAAGCGGATGCCTTAAGCTTTCATCCGCTCACCGCCCAATTATCGATTAATCATCGTGTATTCGTTACTGTAGAAACACAATCCAGGTCCTCAAAACTCTTAAGCAAAAGTTGTATAACATTTCATTATGAATTAGTGATTATGCAAGCAACTCAACTCAACTCTGTTTCGGCTCACAATGGTTTCAAATCATTCAGATATTCTAATCCAGACACAGGAATTTAGTGTAGTCAGTTATGTGTAGTCAAGAAATAGTTTTCTCTTTGAGTGTGGCTTACATCCATCCATGTAATACAAGCAAGAGGTGGATAGGTTATTATGCAGCCTAAAAGTAGGGGTGGGGGTTGATGATAATGAGAAAGCCCTACAAAAATTCAAAATCTGGGTTTTAATGCATACCTCAGAGATTCTGTACAACCGAGCAAGCCGGGTATGCCAGCTTGTTGTCTATAAAAATGATCTGCGACTACTCTAATCATTTTGTGAGCTATAAGATTGCCTAGATTACTTATCACCCTGTACTTCCTGTGTAGGCAGTGTGAAGAGGGTAACATCTCCCTGCACTAGTGGAATACTTGGTGGGTTGACATGAATGGAGGCTGGCTACAGTAAAATGGAGGAGTCGTCTAGTAGTATAAACCTTTATAATGGGTGATTAATTCACTTCCAGGCTTCTGAAGACGGCGTTCCGCCAAAACGCAAGGCACAAATGAAGTTTCTATTAATAAGCTGTTACGGCATAGAAAATTACACGTTCAAGCTACAAGTATGTTAAGGCCGAGATAGGAGAACATTAAAAAGTAGTGAAAATTTGTTAATAACTTGAAATGAAGGAGTAATATAAAAATGCAAGATATCCACAGAAGGCATCCCGGAAAAACCTAGGCGAAGGAGCCTCAGCTGGTGTGAGGTTCCTAGAAGACGGATAGTGCAAAGCATCTAGTGCAAAGCATAAGAATTCAATTCGATAAATCTTAAAAGAATAAATGAACCAGCAATTAGTAATTTAAAAAGCGTCTTTGGATTTTTTAATCCATGTGGCCAACTCCTACAAAGCGACAGACGACTACGACTAACCGTTTGAACCATAGCAATCAGTGCGAGTGTTATGAATAGCCAATATAAATTTGAACTCGCTCAAATCACAAATACACCTTCATTCTGAAAAACGCAACCGCCTTGACATCAAACCAAATACCATAAGAATGACACATAATCAATAGACCGATTAAGCATTCTCGGATAAATCTCTTCACATGCAAAAAAAAAGACACAGAAAACTTAAATGTCGATAGCTGTAAATGGAGTGAGGCATTATAAATTAACTCTAAGCTAGAACCAAGAACAATGTCCTTATACTGTGTAGTATTCATCAACAATATGTTTCACTTGCCGAAACACTATAACTGCACGTCCGATTATGGAAGAAGTTTCGCGTAATCAACAAAAACAAGAAAAAATGGAAGAAAAAATAATTACAAAGTAGGTTCTATCACATTTTGACCGGCACGTTTTCGTAAATAGCCTTGTTTCTGGCGGGTAAGGGAAGATGAAGATATAATGCACCATTTAGATGGAATTTACCATCCCAACTTCACGTACCGAATAATCTCGAAAATAGCTGAAAGAAAATTTCTTACCGCGCTATTACGATGAACTGCTCTTATATTTAGCCACTCACCTGACCCGCAAACCACAAACACGAAGAGTCCAATCAGCCAAGGAGCGGCTGGATATTTGTCTTCCTGGGGCTTCTAAATATTTCCATTGTATGTAGAACAACAATAAGTGAAGAGAATTGGAAAGGCAGAAAATGCTCATTCATGGTATACGAGGGGACCAAATTAAGCACTAATAAGTACAAGCCCCAACGTATTATCACAGCTGTCGTGATGAGCTATATCGTTTTCATAGTAGGAGAACTCGCATATCCTTCATGACTAGAGATGTTTTAAATAGATGTTCACTAAGGAGTCACAAAAAGAGGAAAAGGATTGCGAAGTTCCTGCAAGAACGTATAAGAAAGAGAAGGGAGGCGAAATTTTGAAGAAAAGTAATACGAATCTTACCAAAGAACATGTTTAGTAAGTTAGCAGAGATGATGCAAAAAATACAATCTAATGCAATGATATTGGGAGATATATGATTAGACATGATTACAAAACTCACTAGGGATTTGGCGACGTTTCCACGATTGTTGACATTTTTGCTGAATTGTGTATTGGCAACGGTCATACGCTGCTTCGGGGCCATGTTTTACTGAAAATTATGAATCAGTTAAAAAGCTTTGCAGCTTACATTCCCAAAATAGGTGAAAGCGGCGAAAGCGCGTTGGCGACAGCACGAAATCACATTGAAAAGCGAAATGAAAATAGCCCTGCCCACCACACCATTAGCTAGACTACGAACGATCAGAAAAGCGTTCAAATCATGGGTGGCCGATGTACATGTGGCATTGATCACAGGCAACGCTAAAGTACGATAGGGAGCTGAGCTGAACGTAGAATACGATATTGGGCAGTAGTGCGCTTTATGTGGCGTCTATGGTCGCACTGCTTGGTCTCGACGGGATCGGGGAACTCGTCCAAGGGTTTGTGGACGAGTTCTATTTTTCAGAGCTTTCAAATCAAAATTTAGACAAAATTTTAGCCTTCCCTTTTTTTATGTGCTTGCTTACAAGGTACCATGCTGTTGAGTTATTGTACATTGTGTCAAGTAGTGGAAGTCAAGCGTTATTCCAAAGCTTTCTTTTGCGTCCCATTTTCATCATGTGTTTCTTTTTCTAAGCGAATTTCACTTCCTTATTGGAGGTGATGTTTGAGCGCTCCTTGATGGATGGCAAGAGTATCTGTATTTTATAGTTGCCTCAATGTCCCCGTTTGTAATCGTGCTGTGTTGTAGGGAGGAAACCGGACGTTTCATCCAGTCTCATTGCTATTTCATCTTCCTGTTAGATCGTGCTTATTGTCAACATTTAAGTATTAGAGTCTGGTAAAGTATCCGACAAGAGAAGAGCTGGTTAGTGCATCGAGTTTAGAATTCCTTGTCATAACTACAAACATTTTTTGAGGTTCATTCTACTTCATAGTTGTACCTACTGGTTGTATGCCTATCTTTCTGCAATTTTGAGTTAGTATTTCACAGTCATGTATCTTTAAATCAGTGTTCACTAAGTGTTGATGCTAAACATTTTTGAACATTTGAGAAATCGATCAGCATAAGAGACAAACAGTGATTTTTGTGACACGTTCCACCGTGAGTGTAATTCTGAAGAAAATGTGGGTTGAAAATAATCTTCATATGCGGACCGCTTTACGTCTTCCAAATGTTAGTCCTACTGTCTTGGTTTGGCAGTGGGTGTGAATTTCTAACTAGTACACAACTTGGACGCTAGGGCTTTTGCTGACGAAATTACTCTTCAGTTCAGTATAGCTTCATCAATAATCTGTTCGGACCCATTTGCTACTGGCCTTAAGTAAGATTGCAGTCAAGCACAACCTCGTATCATCATTCAACTCTTGATTTCCTCACCCTTATTCCGGTTCTTGTCATTTCACACCTAATGTTTGAGATTATAAACGTTTAGAATGCCACCAAATGAGGAGCAAGTGACGGAGATGGAGGTGCTGCAGTCCATCTACGGGTCCGACGAAAATTTCAAGGTTATGAGTGACACTCGCATACAGTACAAATTCGGTGCTGAATCTTCTAGAAGCTTTGTAATGGAAATCGAATGGCCTCCAGACTACCCTGAAGTTCCTCCAAAGATTAATATGGACGTTTTCTACAATAGCCACATTGACGACAATGTTCGGCAAGAGATTCGCAGCAAGGTGCTTGAAGTTGCAAAGGAAAACGAGGGTATGGCAGTTTCATTCACTTTGATTGACTACGTCTCGTCAAATTTCGACGACCTGACTGCTCATTGGAGCATACAAGCTCCTAAAGAAGAAGTGATAAAGGTGGAAGAACGGCCTAAGGAGGAGCCTTTGACAAAAGCAGCCAAGAGGCGTATGTGGGATAGAAATGAAGGGACCGGTAAAGAACGTGGTTGGGACTGGGTGGACATCCTGAAGCATCTAGCACAAACATAATTGCACCATAAAATTTTGCAGTGTTGTCAGTGGTACAATCGTTATCTTTATTAATCATCTAAGCTTCAGGTTCTGTTCAAACTTTCACATATATTCTATTATTATGCTTCAGTCCTCGTTCTTGTTCTTGTTATGCGCTTTCATTTTGCATTCTATGGCTGTTTGCCATTTTGGTTCCGCTTTGTTTTATTTCTCATTCTGGTAATTTGATGCCGGTTTTTCATATGTTTTTCGCTTTGAATGTTATCTGCTGTAATTAATGCGCTTTCCACTTCTTAGCACTCGAGTTTATGGGTTTATTTTGTGATTGGAGTTGGAATACTAAATTGTTATGTTTTCTATAAATTATGCTCCATAGTTTATGATTGATATTTGTGATCCAGATTTACCTGTGATAAGTGCTTCAAGTTTAGAAATAAGTGATTACATCGTAACTGGAAAACATGTTTGTTTCCCGGGCAATAAACTTTTGTTGATTTCCTCACTATGCGTTGAAATACGAGTGACAAAAGTCTTGTTGATACTTATCTGGGTTTGCTTTGATAAAATCTCGAATGGGAAAACTTCTTCGGAACTATTGTATGCCTACGATAGTGCTGACGGATGTGTTTTACATGCAGTATAAAATTTTTTTTTCGTATATAACAGCAGTTTTATTTAACTTTTGCAAACAAATCACGGGTTTCGTAATTTATTTTCTATAACATTAATGTTTCATTGTTATGCCATATATAATCATCATTCGAATCAAAAGTCACTTTCAATTATGTAAAAATTTTTCAATCGCTTTTTTTCTAAACATATCTTTACTCACTGTGAACATTTGTACAGTTCTCTAGCCAGATACTAACAATCTTGTGTCATCAGCACAACATATCATTGATATTCTTAACTGCTCCAGTAGCAACGATACGATAAAACTAAGTATTACGGTTTTTTACTGTCTATGTACAAATGGCTTCTTTCAGACGAACTTTGAACCAGTGTTTAAGTGAGGCCACGGAAGAATATAATGGATGTGAAATCAAACACTCTTTGCAATTGACCATTTTTACTTAGTCATTTTTGTCAAAATTTGTTGCAAACGCATCGAAAGAAACGACGAAACTTACACTGAGCATCAGCCAGCTTCTATATGTGATTGATATGTTTTAAGATGATCACCGTTGTCCGTAGTTCGTCCCCTAGCAGCGCAGAAAATGCTCAATTCTCGTATCTTTACACTAGCCCCAAGGATTGACCATGCATTAGGCAAAATAGACTTGACAGGTTAGTAATATAACCACTGATGATCGTTTCGAAGTTTCGCGAACATTTGTAGGAGAGAATCACCACACTTGCTGCTAGAGGGTGCTGTTTTCTTGGCTAGGTGGGGAGCTAGGGTATATTCATACTTCACGGGGATCGTCCGGTTGCGTTGCGAACCTCTGCACTGGTTTGGCGTTACGCTTTATCCCAGCTTTCCGTGCTTTTTTCCTTGTACATTGAA